CCTGGCAGCTGTTTTTTTTTTTTTTAAGTTTGGCCAGGGTCAGGTTTGAACCCACCACCCTTGGTATATGGGGCTGGCGCCCTACTCACTGAGCCACAGGCACCGCCTGGAAGTTGGCACTTTTTAAATTTAAATATATATAGGGAGTACAAGCAGTTTTTGATATATGGACAAATTGCATAGTGGTAAAATTAGGGTTTTTAGTGTGCCTGTCATTCAAATAGTTTATATTGTACCTGGCACTTAGGACGCTGTTTTTGAGCTGTTCACCTGATGATGTCAAGCAGCCAGTTGGGCGTGCTTGTCTGGGGCTCAGAGAGAGGCCTGAGCTGTAGGTACAGATTCAGGTGAGGAAGGAAAGTATCTAGAATATGTCCTAGTTTGTGACTTGCAAAACTGATGGTGTGGTGGCCCCACTGGTTGAGGCAGGGGGCCCTGCCAGCAGCCAGGCAGTGTGAATGGGAAGGTCACACACTGCTTTTTACTCTTTGTGCTCCACACATGAAATGATTCCTGATCCCTCCTCCTCTCCACCTAGACACATAAAGACATTTTCCTGATGGCCCAGGAGAGAAAGTCAGCAACAATTTATTTGCTTATGCTAAAGATATAAAGTGAACCCAGGACTTAAACTGTCTAAAATTTAGCCTGCTAACACATTTACGTTAGAGAGACCACCCCAAGGGCTGAGCCAAAGGACCGTAACAAAATGCTATATTCTTAACTTCATTCTGAAAAACTGTGGCTTAATGGGGCAAAAATAATTATATCCATATTTTCTTATGCATTTTGTGAATATTTTGCCCACCAGGGTTTTAATTTAGTGCAAAGTTCTCTTGATTTTTCCAAAGATACTCTTTATGACTTGAATAAGGTGGGTTTTTAGTAACATAAAAACCTTTTATGCATCATCAAAGGTGGTGCAAGAGTGAAATATGATGCACATGGGGTTTGATTAGTGGCTATTTGAGTCCATAAAAAAGGTAAGATCAAGAAAAAACACACATACATACAAAAGGCAACAGAGGTTATATAATGCCATTAAATTATGTTAATGGTTTTACTTGTCAGTATTTTCTAAAACAAAATGGTTTTCCTGAAGTCTGTTTGTCAGTATTTGTCACTAATTAGTGCCTACAAATTACCTATCCCGTTCATCTGTGTCTAATAAATCAGGGAGGGCTGCTGCAGTTCATGAACTTTTGCTATTGTTGGTTTTTTGCTCGTGCTTTTCCTCCTGATGCATCTCAAGGTTCTGCCTCCTCCCCAAAGGTTTCCAACACCTGTGATTCCGTTTTTGTGAATGGGAAGGAAATGAAGAGCAAAGTGGACACGATCGTGAACTTCACCCACCAGCACTTCACCTCCCAGTTCGAGGTCACTGTCTGGGCGCCCAGGCTTCCCCTGCAGATTGAGATCTCAGACACGGAGCTGAGCCAGATCAAGGGCTGGAGGATCCCAGTGGCCTCCAACAGAAGGTGAGGACTCAGAGAGAGAACTGTGGACCTCATGCTCCCAGGACCCAGATCTTTGTGGGAGGCAAATTGACCCCAGAGCCCCAAATCCTAGGGAAGCAGAATCAGCAGTGGATAGCAGTGTTCTGGGCTTGGGGTTCAGATGGATCTAACTTGGTACTTAGCACTTTGACATGAGGAAATGATGGTAAAGACAATGATAGTAACAACTCCACATAGGAGTTGCTAGGATTCAGTAAACTGTTGCAATGCGTAAGAAGCACTTAACAAGACCTGCCATTTAGGATATAGCTGTTTCTCATTCTGTTCCCCTACTTGTAAATGTCACCCTTCATCCATGGAGTACATGCAGTGATTAAGACTGTGGGCTCTAGAATTAGGCAGCTTGAGTTTTAGCCCTGACTTTACCACTTGTAGTAGTGTGACTTGCACTTAACCTATCGACTTCACAGTTTCCTCATTCATAAATTAGGGATGATGATATTATGGAAGAGTTGTCCCAGGAAATTAGTGAAAGTATGCATACTGTGGTAGACAGAATTCTAAAGGTGACCTCTCCCCCGACCCCCCACCCAAGATTTCTATCTCCTGCTTATTCAAACTCTAATCTGGTAGGGCTGGGTGGGGAATTTACAGATGTAACTACAATCCTAACTCAGTTGACCCTAAAATATGGAGATTATCCACGTGGGTGGGCCCATCAGATTAGCTTTCTGAGAGCAGGGAGCTGGAAGTAGAAGGGGAAGTTGGGAAGATTTGAGAGTGAGAACAACTTGACGGACTATTGCTGGCGTTGAAGATGGATTGAGCCATATGCTGAGGAATATGGGTAGTCCAGGGGAGCCAAGAGCCGTCTCTGTACAACAGCCAGCCAAGAAGCAGGAGACTCAGTTTTATAACTGTAGGAACCAAATTCTGCTAATACCCTGACTGATCTTAGAAGTGGATTTTTCCCTAGCACCTCCAGTTAAGAGTTTAGCCTGATTAACACTCTGATTTGGGCTTTGTGAGTCCTTATGCAGAGAATTCAATCAAGCTTGCCTGGACTACTGGCCCATAGAACTGTGAGCCCATTGTTGGGGTGTAGTTTTAAAGCATGACGTTTGTGATAATTTATAAAGCAGCAATAGAAAACTGATAGTTATTGTACCTAGTGGTGGAGTGTAGCCAAAATGCATGAATATGAGCGTGTTTTGGGATCAGACAGGGAGTGGAGCCTGGAATTATTTTGAGGGACATAATGGAAAAACCCTCAACTGACTTGAGTAGACAGTTAGTAGAAACAGATGTTAAGGGCACTGCACATAATGCTGAAGGAGCATTATAGACAAGTCCCGAATCATCTTATAGAAAGTCTAAGTCATTGTGAGCAAGTCATTGTCAGTAGGAATCTGAACTTCATAAGCACTGCCAGGGAGGTTTCAGAGTGAGGAACCATGGATTCTTGTGTAGGTGGTGACAGAAAGCTTAGCAAAATGGTGTCCTGCTGTTATGTGGGAAACAAGTGAGGTTAGAAATTCAGCTGAGGAGATTTCCAGGCAAACTGTTGAATGTATACCTTGGGTTCTTCTTGCTGCTTATAGTAAAGTGCAAGAGTAGAGATATTATGAGGGAAGGGCTATTAGGACCTGATGATGCTGAAATTCTCAGAATCCCTAGATGGTAAACAATGGAGAAGTTAAGAGATTCACCATCACAAAAGTGTACTCTAAAGAAAAGGCCAAGATTGAGTCCCTAAAACCTTTGCTGAATCTTGAAGAGCAGACTGGAGAAGGGATAGTACCCTGCCTGTCTGGTGCCTCCCACCCTCTTCCTAGCCCAGGGAAGTGCACTCTGCTCCTGTGGGCCCCCCACAGTGCCAGGGTAACAAAACAGACCAGGACAGCCCTGAAGGGCTCTCAGATCAAATTGTAGTTAAATCTGAAGTATGCAAAAGTAGTCCAGGACCTCCTCACTAAAACCAAACAAATGTAACTAAAACAGATCTGAGTGAGATCCAGGGTTTCTTATCATAACATCTAAAATGTCCAGAATACAACTGAAAATCATTTATGACAAGAATTAGGCAAACTACAACTTGAATGAGAAGAGATGCCAGTGCCCAGATAAATCACACATTTGGATTATCTGACAAGGATTTTAAAGCAACCCTACCCTCTACTACTCCCCCTCAAAACTTTCAAAAAGAAATTATAAGCTAGGAGTGGTGGTGTGTGCCGTTAGTCCCAGCTACTTAAGAGAGCATGGTTGGAGGATCATTTGAGCCCAGGAGTTTAAGACTAGCCTGGTCGAACACAGATCATATCTGAACAAAAAATGTTTAAAAAAATTAGTCAGGCATGGTGGTGGGCACCTGTTGTCCCAGCTATTTGGGAGGCTCGGGTAGGAAGATTACTGCAGCCCAAGAGTTTGAGTTCAGGCTGGGCAACAGGGCAAAACTTTGTCTTCAGAAAAGAGAAGAAGAAAAAAGAAAGAAATTACAAATAGCTTTGAAGCCAATGAAAAAGTAGATAATTCCAGCAAGTAAATTTATAAAAAAGAACCATATATAAATATATAAATTATAGAACTGAAAAATACAGTAGCTGGAAAAGAAAAAAACAATCTTAAGAGTCTCAACAGGGCAGTGTTGATGCCAGAGGATAAAGATCAGTAAACTTGAGGACAGATAATAGAATTTAGTCTATCTGAATACCAGAAAATAGACTGGAAAAAAGTACCCAAAGCATAAGGAGCTCGGGGGACAACAGCGAAAGATCTAAAATTCTATAATTAGAATCTGAGAAAGTGAGAACATGTAGGGTTGAAGCAGTATTTGAAGAAATAATTGCTGAAAATGTCCCAAATTTGGCAAAAGACATAGGTTTAGAGACCAGAAACATGATAAAATCAAAGAATCCATGCCAAGAAACATCATGGTTAAACTTCTGAAAATCACAGGCAAGAAAAAGAAAAATTTCAGAAAACATCCAGTGAGAAATTAGGCCAATTTGAGTGACGGTGCATTGCTCCCCTGAGACCATGGAGGCCGGAAAGACCTGGCATAATATTTTCCAAGTGCTGTAAGACAGTAACTGTCTACCTTGATTTCCGTATCTGGCAAAAATATCATTCAGCAATGAATGAGGAATAAAGATATTCTTAGATGAAGAAAAACTTAGAATTTTTTTTTTTTAGGAGACAAAGAATGGCTTTAAAGAATGGCTCTCTACACAAAGAGAAAATGGTTAGAGAAAAAGATTTGGAACTGCAGAAAGGAAGAAAGAATTGTAGAGGGAAGGGAAAACGGTGTTAAATAGGATAGACCATCCTCTGTGTCAGATTCTTACATTTGGTGGCTGAAGCAAAAATAACATCATCTAACGTGATGCTTAGGGTATAGAGATGGAAAACATAGCATTACAAGTGGGGAGGATAAAGATGCTTAAATGGGACCAAGCTGTTTACCCTTGGAGTGGTAAGACCTTGACATTTTCCAGCTGCAATAAACCAGGTGTGTATGTTAAGTCACACACACATATACACACAGACAGATGACACCTATTGGTGACGTCAGAATGAACTCTGTGCGTACCAATGCTGGTTTTGATATTGTCCTATAATTAAGAAGATGTTGGGGGGGGGGGAGAAGAGTGTATGGAATCTCCTGTGTGGTTTTTTTCTTTTAACTTTCAGTGAGTTCCTAATAATTTTTAGAATTAAAAGTTCTAAAAGTAAGTGAACAAGGTACAGTCTGCCCTAAAATGATAGGATCGTTTTGTTTTATTAATGCAGCATTTCTAAAATTTCCTATGTTCACTCATCACTTTTATTAGGATGCTGCCGCCTTTTAGTGAAGCATATACTTAATAGTATTCTTTCCATTTTACCTGTCTCATGAGAAACTTCCCATCACTAGCGCAAATGGACAACCGGTATCATTTATCATAAAATAAATTTAACCGGAAATTAATACAAAGAGCACAAGATAGTGTTATTCAATTCTTAGTAGATATTGTTGTCTGCCTGTGTGAGTTTGTCTTTATTAACAGAACAGAAACTAGCAAGTGTCAGAGCAGCTTTAAAGACAGCTAGCACTGAATAGAGACATTCCCTGTGATGTATTCAGGATTGAAAAATAGAATAGGAATAACTTTTCAGTATGTCATTCAATTTTTTTTTTATTTTAGTTGAATACCATATTCCTCTGCCACCTAAAATCATTTCTCTTACCCACAGAGATATTCATCCCTTGCTTTGAGAAACCCAAATTGCTAAGCTATTGTGCTGGGGAAAGTTTTTCTATCTCTCTATAAATGGTTCTCAGACCTTTTGGGGAGGCTGAGGGGCGTATTGTAAAGAAGATGGGTTCTAGAAGTCAGGCGAGCAGGATCCAGATCTGCTAATTAGTAGTTGTCTGGGTCACATGTTAACCATGGCCAGCCTTGGTTGTTTCATGTAAAAATGAGGAACATATTTCATAGCCATGGAGAAGATGCATGGGGTTGGCTATGACAGGCAGAAGGCACAGCAGAGGGGTGGCAGCCTGGGTGTGGCCCTGCCTCTGCAGGTGAGCAGTGTATGGCCTTGGCTAAGTAGTGGCTCCTCCCCTTCCTTGGTGTCTTCATCAGCAAGATAAGGGAAATAGCCTTGTTCTTTGGAGTCTGTGAAGATGATGTGAGTTAAACATACGTGGCTGTTGTGTGTTACATGACCAGCATCTGTTCTCATCCTTACACTCAGCATGCAGCACAGAGGACCTGGTAGGTCTAACTCTGCACGCCTGAGTCTCTGCCCCTTTTTTCCCTGACACAATCCCCATCCACTGAGGGTCATAGACTAGTCAGCAGCCACCAAATAAGACACTGCCATAAAAGGACACAGGAGAGGCTTGGTGTTAACATGATCAGTTTCCTGAACACTGAGGCCAGAGACTCAGCCTCTGCCTGCCTGGGGCCTGTGCCTTCTGTGGCTCTGGATCGGGGACACTGGAGCTGCTGTGTGGCACTGGTAACCACCAGAGTGCTTGCCAGATGAACGTCTGGCCAGTGAGTGGACTGATGGCTGAGCAGGTCTGGCAGGAGAAGAACTTTTCCATTTCTCTCTGCACAGCCACACAGAATCGGAGAAACATGGGCATGCAGGACTGCCTAACGGCGAGGACATTCATTCTGTCTTGGTTCCTTTGTGCCCCAGGCCCACGCGAGACAGTGAGGATGAGGAAGAGGAGGAGAAGAAGGGGCGCGGGTGTTCTCTGCAGTACCAACACGCCACGGTGCGCGTCCTCACCCAGTTTGTGGCTGAGTCACCTGACGTAGGCCAGCTGACCTACATGCTTGGCCCTGACTGGCAGTTCGACATCACCGACCTGGTTACTGAGTTCATGAAGGTGGAGGAGTCGAAAGTCGCTCATTTACAGGACGGCAGGACCCTGGCGGGTCGGGAGCCGGGAATAACCACTGTGCAGGTACAGGCCACTCACCCTTGCCCCTGTGCAGGGATGTGCACACACATACAGTGAGCGTGTGCAGGGTTGTCTGTGTGTGTCAAGAGAATCCTGAGGAACAGTAGAGTGCACACCAATTTTAATAACCTAAACTCACATTAGGTTTTGCATTTTAGGGAGATTTGAGAAAAATATCTCTTTTACCAGAAAAAGCTAAATGAAACAGATAAGTGATCTTTGCCCCAATAGGACACCTTGAACGCTGTTTTTTTTCCCTCCTAACCCTAATTTTTAGCCATTTAGTTATATTATGCCATGCAGAGTAGACACAAAATTTTAAAAACATATCTTTGCACAAAGTAACAAAGCATCCATAGTTCGATATTCCCCATTTTGTCATAGCAATGGTCAAACTATTTTCTAGCCAATTACGACAAGATAGTCATTTAGGAATGGGGCAGCCGGTTTTCTTTATACAAATTTTAAATATTAAGTCATATTTTGGTGTAGCCAAGTTAATTTTTGACAAAGCTAGATTACATGTGTTATATTCTATGTATGTATTTTATTACCGTGTAACCCATCACCACAAATTTAGCAGCTTAAGAAGATATTCATTTGTTAGCTCAGATTCCTGTAGGTCAGGAGTCTGCTGCTAGGCTGGGTTCTGTGCTCAGAGTACCACAAGGCTGAAATCGAGGTCTTGGCTGGGCGGGGCTCTTCTCTGGGAATCTGGGGGAAAGAACTGGCTTCCAGGATCCTTCAGGTTCTTGGCTGAACTTGGTTCTTTGTGATCATACATCTGAGGTCCCTATTTCCCTTTTGACTATTGGCCAAGGGTCACTCTGCTCCGAGAGGCCACCTCCCTCCCTTCTCACATGGTTCCTTTCACGTTTTGGTAATGGTGGGGTAGAGTCCTTCTCAGCTTCGAATCTCTGACTGCTCTTGCTACCAGCTGGGAAAAGTTCTCTGCTTTTAAGAGCTCATGTGATTACATTAAGTCCACCTGAACAATTCAGGTTACGTTCCCTGTCTTAGAGCCAACTGTGCCGTGTAACATACCATACCCATGAGAGTGCGTCTCAATATGATCACAGGTGCCAGAGATCAGGGCAGGGCATCTCTGGGAGGAGCATTGTGGAGGTTCTGCGTACTGTGTGTTCCTCTTCAGGTCTTAGTTCCCTGATTACACACTAGATGGTAAATTAGGAGGGATGGTTCCTTAGGACATTAAGATGCCCTGTCCCACTCTGTTTAAGTGGCTTATGTAATGATGGTGACCAAGATAGTGATCATTATTGTCCCACAGAAAACATCTGCCTGCTGCCTGGAAGGAATGTGAGCTGGAGAAGACACTGAGCCCCATTTCCTTTAAGTGTCTCACCATAACTGTGCCATTTTCAAAGCCTAAAGATTAGTTCTTGGGGGAAATGTTACTCTTTGAATGTTCAGTATGTAAATGGTTTGTTTTTAGTTATTGTCGCTTAATTAAAGCTAGCCCTTCTCAGAAAATATACTGCTGTTATAATGAATTAAAGGAAATAAAATTATTAAGATGATTTTTATAAAACTCTTTCAACTGGCAAGTATAATTGAACAGTAGTGTAACACTTACTTAAATAGTTCCCATAAGTGCATTCATTACTCAGAGGACCAAGAAGGCACTTCGGTGGAAATCTCAATTAAGGAGTTGAAGGTGTTTGTGTGGAGCAGAGACATGAGCTTCCTCCCTCACTTTTCAGGTGCTCTCACCACTCTCTGACTCCATCCTGGCTGAGAAGACAGTGATTGTCCTGGATGACCGAGTCACCATCACAGAGCTGGGTGTGCAGCTGGTGGCTGGCGTGTCACTCTCCCTGCACCCTCACAGAGCAGACAAAAGGGCCATCGTCTCAATGGCAGCTGCCCAGGACGTCCTTCAGTTCCCTCAGCAGGTGAGAGGCCCAGATGGGGACATGTTCCATGTCCCTAGTCAGTGGTGACACCTCCTCTTTCTCAGTTACCAC